TTCCCCCCCCCCCCCCCCCCCCCTCCCCCCCTATCGCGTAGCAACGCCTTCTGGTGGTGTCGTTCTTGATACTCCACGCGGCGCAGCAGCTGACGGGGATCAACGCCGTCTTCTACTACTCGAACAGCTTCTTCGTTGGCATCATCGACAACCCGCTGATTGGCACGACGCTGGTCGGGGTGGTTAACGTGGTCGCCACGTACGTTGCCCTCCAACTCATGGACAAGACGGGGCGGGTGAGAGAGGAGGGCGGGGGGCAGCGTGACCTGCATTCGTGGGCGTGTGTGTTGTTTTTGTTGTTAGCATCGACCAGGCTAGCCGGCTGACCAACGATCAAGACGTCAGTTTCGGTGTGGTTGAAAACAGAAATTTACTTCTAATTAATAGAGGCCTTCTGTGTGTGTGCTGCTTGCCGCTCGGGAGCCCGTAGTGATGTGATGTACTGACATTGTATGTTCCATTATCTGCGAACATCGAGTGTGTCGTGACAAACTGAAAAGTAAACCAGGACTCAGCAAAGTCGACGTTTCGCGGCTCTTGCTTTTGCGAACATTTTTTTTATGGGGAATATATTTTTTTCTGCGAAATGCTTGGTGGAGGTGCAACTGTCTCGTGGCAGATGTCTCCCTGTTGACACTGACAAACCGCTCCGATCTCTGTGAAGTATCTACTCTTCCTTTATCCTCAGAAGACAAAGGAACGGATACATGTACGGCGCGACAAGATATTCCACCAAAAGATGCAAGAGCAGGTTGACTTTCCGCCCGAGAAAATCGTTCCGGTTTGTAGCACAGCACGAAACACTTTTTGAGAAACCGCTCTTTTTCTTTTGGGGGGGGAAAGGTCCCGCTGATGATGTGGAGCGCGGGAGGCATGCTCGCGTCGACCGTGGTCGTGACCCTGTCGCTGCTGGGCATGCTGCCCAACGTGATCGCCGTGTTCGGGGTGATGGCCTTCGTGACGTTCTTCGAGATGGGTCTCGGCCCCATCCCCTGGCTCATCGTCGCGGAGATGTTCGACGCGAAGTGAGTGCCCCGGATCTGGCCTGTGGGTGTACTGCTGTACGGGTGCTGATCACATCATTTTGGTGGAAGGGAGAGGGCGGGTGGAAGTTAGTGTTGAACGGGTGCCGTTGAGTGGTATCTGAGCTGTTTGTCTCTCCCTTTTTCTCATCGTTGGCTCTTGAAGTAGTACACCCAGCGGCGCATACCGTAGGTTGCATGAGATTCCGCGCCCCCTGGAACGACTTTGAAAGCTTCATCACGCCACGACGACGAGGATGCTGAAATCAAAGGTACGTCGTCGGAAAGCTCTCGACGAGAAGGTTCCAACGCCTCCCGCCATTATCGGCACCGTCGCTGCTTTTCCTGCCGAGTAGTTGAGCAACGAAAATCTGTCCAGGGGGTGCTGAAATTTCTACCTGGCGCCATTTATGTCGGGGCGAAAAAATGCCACGCATATTATACATTTGCCCGCGCACCTGTTATTTCGCATGAACACCGAAACGAGAATCTCCTCCTGCCCCCCCCCCCCCCCCCCCCCCCCCCCTCTTTTTATAAACCCCCCCCCCCC